AGCCGAACTGCAGAACTGCAGTCAGCTGAAGTAGCCTGCAGTGCTGCATTTAACCACTGCGCCATCTCGGCTCCTCATATCCAACTATGCTTATTTCTTCAAAATCTGCCAGAGTCTGCCAGATTTCCCTATGGAGCTGGCTCTCACTTTGGGATGATGTTCCCTCGGTTTGGCCTTGAGCTCTTCCTGCTGGCCTGTTAGACTTCCCAATCTAGTTTCCAGACTCTGGAACTGTCTCGAAGGGCTATCCAAGCCCTGCTGATTTGTACAATTCAGCCCATGGGCAAAGACTCATAAAATCTAGAAGCAAGAAAGGAACGTGTTATTTAAGAATAAAGTCCAGGATAATATTCTGGGAGGTGACGATCAGATAAACAGATGGACAGAATAACAGAGACTGGAAGGGACCTTCGAGATCTAACCCAACTTCCTGCTCAAGGAGGAGACCCCATCCCATTTCAGACCACTCTCTTCTTAAAAGCCTCCATTGATGGAGCACCCACAGCTTCTGAAGGCAAGCCGTTCCACTGGTTCATTGTTCTCACTGTCAGGAAGTTTCTCCTTAGTTCTAGGTTGGTTCCCTCCTGGTTTACTTTTCATCCATTGTGTCTTGTCTTTCTGTCTGATGCTTTGGCTGATGGTGGCTTTCTCTGGGAGTAGGATCCTTCCTCCTGTCTCTCTTCCAGTTCAGGCCTGAAGCAAAGGTGAACATCCATTGTCTGTTGTAGCTAGGTGTGGGCTTCAAAAATTGTATCAAGGCATTCTCTGCCCAGTTGCTGGGTGGGTGTGCCCATGCTGGGAGTGGCCTAGTCAGCCTCCTGCACCATGGAGGGGTGGGGGGGTTGCCCTCCCTGGGCTCCAGAGGACCTCTGGTAGGCCCGTTTTTCACCCTCCCTGAGCCTTCCCATGGGCCCTGCACTTACCTGCTCCAAAACAGGCCATGTGGGGACTCTTGGGAGGGGAGGGGCATGGTGGGTGGAGCCAGCCAGGAGAGGGATTTGGGGGTTCTCTGAACTGTTAGAGGGTCTCCTGAACCCCCAGCAGCCCACCCCTGGTTGTAGCCTCAGTTGAATTTACCTTCTGCAGCTCACATATTCACAGCTACACAAACTCTTTCTAGAAACCAGAAGAGTTTCACTCCACTCATGAATTCACCAAGGCAGCCTTTGGCAAACCATTTTGCCAAAGGTTTGGTTGCTATGACCTCCAGGGCAAGACATCACAATAATACTGACGGGCTTTATAGAAGTGTTGTAAGGATTGCCAAGATTGCACACACTAGGCACCTAGCAACTGCCCACAATAAATAACAGAATAACAGAGTTGGAAGAGACCTTGGGGGGGTCTTCTAATCCAACCCCCTGCTCAAACAGGAGATGCTGTACCATTCCAGACAAGGGGCTGCCCAACTCTTCTTAAAGACTTCCAGTGTTGGAGCTTTCACAACTTCTGGAGGCCAGTTGTTCCATTGATTAATTGTTCTAAGTGTCCTGAAATTTCTCCTTACTTCTAGGTTGCTCTGGAGAATAGCTTGACTTCCTTTTCCTTGTGGAAGCTCCTTAGATATTGGAATACTTCTATAATGTCACACCTATGCTTCTTTCCACTCAAGTATATGTACCCAATTCCTACAACTGTTCTTCACAGAGTTTAGCCTTGTTTAATGTTCAACAATAAATGTTGTTTGAATAAAGTTTTTATAGGCTGCTTCTCCAGTGTGCAAAAACCTTCTATTTCTGATTTTAAATTTACTGGTCTGGTTATAGGGAAAACAAAACTGACTTCATTTTGCTTATGTTGGGTGTAGGGGGAACCTACTTCCTGATCTCTCGCAGCTTGGGCCCAGAACTTGGTGGATCCATTGGCCTTCTCTTCTCCTTTGCCAATGCTGTGGCTGTGGCCATGCACGTAGTGGGTTTCTCCGAAACAGTGAAGGACCTGCTGGTGGTACGTGTGGAAAAAAAAACCTCTTGTCTTTCCTCTGTTCTTCTAGCTCAGGGTTTCCCAACCTTGCAGTCTTTAAGATGGGTGAACTTCAACTCCCAGAATCCCTCAACTGGCATGGGAAGCGTGCTGTAGCAATGGATGCATGCTGGCTGGGGAGTTCTGGGAGTTGAAGTTTGCCAGGCTTAAAGTTGCCAAAGTTAAGGAACTCTAGTCTAGGAAAGCAACTCTATTGTCATGCATGCTGGCTGGGGAGTTCTGGGAGTTGAAGTTTGCCAGGCTTAAAGTTGCCAAAGTTAAGGAACTCTAGTCTAGGAAAGCAACTCTATTGTCATGCATGCTGGCTGGGGAGTTCTGGAAGTTGAAGTCCACATATTTTAAAGTTGGCAAGATTAAGAAACACTGTTCTCACTGTTTGCTTAATAGCATGCTAGTTGTGCGTATTATGGGGTGATTCCTTGGAGCTCCTGATGAAGCCAATTTTACCTTTCAATTTCCAGATCTCATACTTCTACAGCATCTATAAAAGATTTGCCCTTTCCCTTCCCTTCTTTTCCTTTCCCTTCCTTTCCTTTCCCTTCCTTCCCTTCTCCTCCCTCTCTCCTTCTCCTCCTCCCCCTCTTCTCCCTCATTTCCTTTCTTTTGTTTCCTTTCTTCCTTCATTTCCTCCCTCTGCCCCTCAACTTCTAAGTCTCCTCCATCCTTCTCTTATTTTCCTTCCTTCCTTCTATCCTTTCCTCTCGGTCTTCTTTCTCTTCCTTCTCTCTCCCTCTCTCCCTCCCTGCCTCCCCTCCCTCCTTCTTTCTTCTTTCCCTTCCTTCTCTCTCCCTCTCCTCCCTCCCTCCCTTCTTTTCTTCCTCCCACCCTTCTCCCGGTACTGCTCCCACCTTTTAAGAACAGATGGCATTGTTGGGCTGATCTAACCTTCTCAGGATGGGTAGGATCAACCAGTTTGCATCTGGGAGGCTGCTTAGAGGAGGAAGCTGGTGTGACGGGAATGTTCACCCTCTCCATCTTTCCACAGGAGTCGGATGCCGTGATGGTTGATCCGGTGAACGATATCCGCATCGTGGGTGTGATTACTGTCACCTGCCTCCTTGGAATCGCTTTGGCTGGCATGGAATGGGAAGCAAAAGTAATGGCACAGATGTGTTGACATTGGGATGGGTGGGCAGTCCGAAGGAGAGAGTAGATCTTAGCGGTTAGAGAAGATGATTGAAGCCAAGAAATGTGGGTTGGAAGGGGAGGGGTTGTTTCTCCGTGTTGGATCTATTGTCATCTGACAATTTGAGCAGCAACAACAACTTTGGGAAGGTTTGCCAAATGTTTATGAAGAGGAGAACTAGATAGACTCGTTTCTGAATATTAAACACTGGTCTAAGATGGTTATCTGGCAAAGCTGTTCTTGATATGGATACACCTTATTATACGATCGCTATCGTATTGTTATATGGTAGCACACAAAACATTTGACTGCTAGGTGTTGAAATCTTAAAAAGGAGCCGAGCAGCATTGTGGTATGGACTGTTAGGCAAAATATCCTTGAGGGAGGGAGAAAACAATAAGTTAAATGGGTTATGCAAAGGTGGTTTATTTTTGGATTGCCAGATTTTCATAGAAATAATCAAACTGTCCTCAAGTTTAGGAAGGGGAGAAAAAAGACATTTTTTTTACTTCTATTTCTGCTGCAAAGCTGCACTATCTACCTAGGGAACCTCGTAGAGCTTAACTGCACCAAGGATATACAGGTAGTCCTTACTTACAACAGTCCATTTAGTGACAAGTTACAATGATACTGGAAAAAAGTGACTGGTGTCTGGTTTTCAGCACCGCTGCAGCATTCCCATAGTCATGTGATCAAAATTCAGAGGCATAACAGCTGGTTCATATTTATGACGGTTGCAGTGTCTGGGGGCAGAGGGGTGTTGTCAGCTTTTGTGCACCTTCCAACAAGCAAGGTCAATGGGGAAGGCCGGATTTGCTTTAAAATCATGTTTCTAATTTAACAACTACAGCAATTCACTTAACACAGTGTTTCTTAACCTTGGCGACTTTAAGTCCTGTGGACTTCAACTCCCAG